GGCATGGCAAATGGTACATCGCAACATCACTATCCAAAGCGACTACGTTAAAGTGGTCAATTTGATAAATGACCTCCTTTTTTACGCCAAGGGTGGTGGGACCCTGAACAACATTATTTTGGAGTGCAAGAATTGGATCAGAAAAGATTGGAATGTCCGTTGTTGTCACATTTTGCGAGAACAAAATCAAGTTGTGGACTGGTTAGCCAAGAACTACAGTGTTAAGTCTGAGTTGGCCCTGTTGTTTTTTTGCCCGAATGCCAATCTTGCGGCTCTTGTCCAAAAAGACTGTTTGGTGGTTCTTTCGGTCCGTGGTGACTAATTTTTTTTTTTTTTTTTTTTTTTGTTTCCTAGAGTTCTACCCTTCCCTTCTTGTAAAAAAAAAAAAAAAAAAAAAAAATGAGTCAGTAGTACTAAGAAAAAAAATAAGTGTTTAAAAAATTTTAGAGTCTAGCTTTCATTCAATAAGCTCATATTATACTACTGCTGGAATCCCATCTCAAGTGTTACCTCTTAGCAATTATAAATCACCAAATTTTTTAATTAAACTATTTCTTTGATAACTTAAAAAATTATTCCCTGAGTAGTTATGAACATATACTACATTGTAATATAGTCAATAATATTTTAAAAAATAATTTTCATTATTTTCTTGATTTTTGAAATCCAAAAAATAATAAAAATAGCAAACCTATATACCACGCTGGCAGTTACATATTACATACATATATTCATTATTTTAAATTATTTCTAGCTTCTCAAATTTTCCAACAAATGGAGATCAGCACACATAATTCACTATCGGTTAAGCAATTGAATTTAGCTTCAAGCCATTCCAGAAAAAATTTTAGTCATCAAGATACTATTATCAAAAAAAAAAAAAAAAAAGTCATCAAGATACTTAAAATTCAAAAACATAGATTGACAAAATGTGACGTGGCAAACAAAGGGGTGCATGCACATATAGTTAATATGGACGGCTGGACACGGGATACCCTCTCGAATCGTTAATGCGGTTTTAACTTTTAAATCAAACAATATATAATGGCGTATTTTTGGGTTTAAGAAAGAATAGTCAGAGGGTCACATGGCTCTGTAGTCTGTACTGTGAGTGCTAAATCCACTTTGACTTTTTTTCAACTCCCCAAATTATTCTTTATTCATTTTACAAGTTTAATGAAAAATACAACTATATTTTCTAACCAAACATTATTTTATTTTAATTTTAAAAAATTATATTCATTAACTATTTTAAATTCACCTATTTAGTTTTGAGTTAATCAAATAAATGAATTATTTGCCAAGATCTTGTAGTCTAATGGCACCAAGGTTGCACTCCTGTATGGGAGGTTGTGAATTCGAGCTTCAGTGGAATCGGCATTGACACGAGTAAATTGAAAAAGTAGTTATGAACAAATATTACATTGTAATAGAGTTGTACCACTCAAAAATAAGTGAATTATTTTAAAACAGAAAAAAAGTGACAGTTAAAAATAAATAAAAACAACATATATTTGTTTTCAAAATATATATATATATATATATTTTTGAATCCTATAAATAAAAACAAAATATATTTGTTTAAAAAAAAAACAAAAAAAAAAATAAAATATATTTTTGAATCCTTGCGAGCATCCTCTGTAGTTTTTTTAGAATTTTTTGCATCTGTGATTATGAAAGAGAAGATGAGAAGAAAGATAATAAAAAAAAAAGAGAAAAAAAAAACCCAAAACAAAGTTGAAAACCAAAAAGAAAAAAAAATTGAAAAGCGTCATTAACACGCCCATCTGGGCGCTGTGTTGCATCTCACACGCCACAAATGGCGTTGTTGTTGCCTGTGGTGGGGCCCACTTCACTGCAAAAACCAAGTGTTTGTAGGGGGATTTTTTTTCTCTCATCATCTTCTCTCTCAAAGTGAGGGGCTCCTTCTGCGCAATAAACAAAGGTCTAGCCTCTGTGGTTTAGTTGAGTTACCATGATTTATATCCTCACAGATGCTCTGTCGGGTTAGAGTGTGGCCATGTAGGGACCCTTGAGGTTGGGAATTCAACCATTTAGAAAGAATATAAGCCAAGTTTCTTTAACAACCTACTCAAAATGCATAAATAGGGGTGCTCTAAGTATTCTTCCCCACTCCTGCTTTAGAGATTAGTGGAGACGAAAATAGATAAATTGTAAGATTTGCCTTACTCGGCTACTAGTACCCACAATTAGACTAAATTCATATTTTCTTTTTAATCTTTGGTAAGATTTGAACATATATGCTACGACAATCAGCAAAGTAAATCTTATGAATTTATTTTGTGTTGATTGGTCAGTTGAATTACCGGAAGCATAAATAAAATATGGGATCATCATGATTAGCCCCTGCTTTTACTTAATCATTGGAGGGCTCCAAATTAATAAGTAATTTACTCGACGTACCAGTTGCGCCAGAGGACATTGATAGTGACAATGGAAGATAATACGGAGTATTATTTAACTAATTACCAAAATTATATTTATATATATTGTTATAATCTAGAAGCATGTTCACGTGATCTTATTTTATAAAATGGGTAAATGATAAGTGTATTTAAGATAATAAAAGTTTAGTCGGGTATCTAAATTTTACGGAAGGAAGAAAAAAATTTTGTTATGGTCAATTTTTAAAAAAATTAATCAGAACATATTATATTAATCAGGAATTTAAAATAGAGTAAACAATTAAGTACATGTAGTATTTGATTGGTGGAAGCATGGAGGGTGAAGTCTAGTATATTATCGTCGAAACGTGATATTACCTATTATATAAGTATTAAAAAAATAATAATAATAAAGTTGTGTATGTGTTACTAGCTTAGTTATCGCTTTTAGCACATAACAATTGGTATCATAACATGTTTATGTGTGGTTGTGTATTCGCTACTAACTATAGATTTTGGTAATAACTAGTTACTTTCACCTCTAATTGATTGACATAAACACGTTAGGTTTAGCCCATAGTTATTATTATTTTCGTTATAAGTCAAGATGAAACATCAAATTCACAACTTAAAATAATAACTGAAAATCTAACGTGACGATCATCGATTAAAGATGAAAATAATTATTTCGTGATAATTGAGAAATACCAAAAATGTTTGATATTTGGTAACAGTTTCGTAAATTTGTACAATTTGTTGGCTGCTCTCCTTGTCCATGCCATATACATAGGTGATAGGAGTGTTGTACCAACTCAAACTTATGGACTGTCGTTTTGTCTATTGATCCGTAAACCTTATATTCGTTAAATTATTGTGGTAGATAAGGTTTGGTGCAAATTAAAGCTGTTGTTGTGGTGGTCGCACCAGCTACAAAGATTCCTTTCTGCTATACTAATTTTATATTTTGAATTTTTTGTCTCCTACTCTTATCTACCAACCATATCACCTTCTATTCTTTGCCTGTAGTCTACCTTAATTATACTCTTTAATAAGCTTGTTCATACATAATTGCAACATGCTTGGTTCAATGTTTTGCACTCATTTTAATTTCATCAATCCTAATCAAAATTATGTTCTTAACTTGACCTAATAAGTAATAATATAATTGCAACATGCTTGGTTGAAAATATGAGTGTCAACGCTGGTCGATCCGTTACGCAGTAAACTGTACTATAAATTTTGTGGGGTTTTATGAGTAAGCTTGCGAGACACACATGTCAAATAATTTTTTTTTATTTATAACACTAACTCACCTCATTTGGATTGCGGTTTGATGGGCCACGCAAGCTTACTTCCATGATATTATTTTTTTAAAAAAAAAAATCATCAATATGTAAGAAATAAGTAAATATAGAATGTATAGAAATTCATAGTTTAGTTAACGTTGATGTAAAAAAAAAAAAAAAATTGTCACTTTTCAACATAATAGTTTGAGACAATTGATAATAAATTGTTAATTCAATTACATAGTCGAATGATTAAGTTTTGTATATGTGTTTCATTTTAAATAGCAATCTAATTTAGAACCTGTTGTGGAATATAATTTTATTGTTTGGAAAAAAAGAAGAAGATACATTATGGTAAATATCATAAATTAATTAATTATTACCATATAATTTCTATTATAATTTTAAAAAAAATGAAAGTAATTTAAAAATTTGAGCTAATAAATTTGGAATAAAATTCATAAAAGACTAATAAATATACTATGATTTATTGTATTATCAGAATATATATTGCTTTAATAAATGTTCCTTAATTATTACTAATTTAAGTACTCAAAAAAATTATTACTAATTTAAATCTTACTCCAAATTATTACTAATTTAAATCTTGACGGACTCTAATGAAGCTATAACAGAATGCAAATAATTTTGTCAAGTTAAAATGTAATATATAACATTTTAAGGGCAATGTATAAATTTAATTATTACCACTAAAAAGGGACAAAACCCAGGAGCATAGCTTGGATCTAACACTTATAATATTTTTAATTTTTTTAAATATAATAAATAAATAGTTATTTACATGTTGCGTGAAGAGAAGCCCAATAGTCATGTTTCTACTAGATTTCAATAGAAACATATTTGCAATTTGGTCATCAATGGTTAGAAATTAAATTTCCGAAAAACGTACGACAACAACCTATTCAAACAACTTTTTTTTTTTTAATGTTACTAAAAAATGGTTAGTGTTATTAACTATTTTGGACTAGTGATTAGAAATAGAGACAAAAAATTCTTTAAATCCTCATAATGATTGAAAATGTCACAACTAATCCAAAACTCTACACACAATTACACTACATAACCTTTTTTTTTTTTTTTTTTCCTTCTAGTACCAAACACTCAACATTAAGAAAATAACAACAACAAAAAAATAATAATAATTTATTTGATTCTCAAAAATTAAACTCACAAGAGTTTGATCTACAACTAAGACAACTTTGAGAAACAAAAACATAAAAAATCACTTTAAGTGTTCCATTTTTTTTTTCAAAATGATTTAAAATGTAAATTGAATGATAGATGTGAATTAAGCCCACTTGGCCAAAATAGACATCCCGGCAGCACCCAGAAACACTGCAACCAAACAATACATCTGTAACTTGATGCTTCTCTGCAACTTTTGGGCCATGAAATCTGCAGCAAGAAGGTCAACCAAAGCCATGTAGATATCACCCTGTTGGCCTTTTTGGTTTTTCCACCCAACATGAGCGTCCTATTAACCTTCTTGTTTTGAGAAGGTCAGAAAATAGAAAGCTTAGTCAGGGTTTACTTCATTCATTGTGGTCATTTGCAGAATTGCAGGCCAGGGTTTACAAGATGGTTTACTAATGTACACCCTCGAGTAGTGACTGTGAGTTTCACTCGTTATTCTTTTTCTCCCAAAAGGTTGAATCTCAACCTCAACTTCAAAACTCCCCACACCCCAGTCCGACAGGGCATTTAGGATGATATAAATCAAGGTGAGACAATGACTCAACTGACATGATCAAATGCTGATGCGCACAAGGGATCTGCATGTCTACTTTGAGCATAATCTCACACTGTTGCTGTCGAAGTTCGAACATTGGTCTCTTCACTCGTTATCCTATTAGTCTTTCAGGTGGTTTTTAATGTGTAACAAGAATAAATAAAAAGAAGATTGAGTGAGGTTTTGCCTGTAGAATACTGCCACCAAGTCCCATTCCTTCAAACATTTGATGGAAACAAAGGGCAGCTATGAGTCCTTTGATGGTGCAAGTGTTGCTTGTAGCTCCCATAGCGAGCCCAATCACCACTGAATGAACTATAATTCCAACCTCCAACACCTTCAAAACAAAATCACCAAAACAATATAGAATCAATTATTATATATATTCACACGATGCATGTGTAACCATATGTAATAATAAAACAAAAACATCTATATACCATATTATATATAATTGATAATAAATTTCCTTTTTTTCTAGTTTAGTAGGCTCGAAATTAGAAGAATACATCTAACAAACATTTAATCGACTATACTGATGATTTTGTTGGTGGTTAAGGTTAAGTTATAACTGATCAATTTGGCACGCAATAAGTAACGGTTTTTAGGCTTTGAATGGTAGAAAATGAGTTATTTTTTACATCAAAATTTTAAATCACTGACAACTTTTTTTGTTGTACATGGTCGAAAATGGTAAGTTTTCTAGTAATGGTTGAGTTTGGATGGATCATGGACCCTAACTTGAATTATACAGTATTATCCTAGTTTAGGACAGAGTAATTTTAAAATCTTAGAACTCCGGGCCAAAAGGGGATGGAGGAGATGAATCACCCTCTCGGTCCCTTAATTAGTTCCATCTTTGCCTATAAATTCTAACATAAGAACTGAGGCATAACATATATATATATATATGTGTGTGTGTGTGTATAATACTGTATATGTATAGAACTAATTACCATGGCAATCACTCGATAACGTGTAAGTTTTGGCCATCTACTTCTTTAATGGATCCATAGTGATGATCATGACTCCGATTGTTCACCGTTCCCATCTCAATGTTGTGGGTGGCCTCCGGCCGGAATGACGCCGGTGCCGGTGCGGGTGTTCTTGGTGTACAAGCTGGTCGCCATGGAGTTAATCGCCATCGTCACAATGGCCGACACCATGGCCACGAAGCCGCCGAACGGAAACTCGTGCAACGGGTTATCGTCCAGGCAAGTGGATTGGAGCATGTCATAAGAGTCCGGCAGGACGTGCATGAATCCGGTGGCGAGGATGATGCCGGAAGAGAACGCCTTAACCACGTAGAACACGTCGCCGCTAGGGTCCAGGACGGAGATCGAACTGGTCACCAGCGGCAGGCAAACCCCTATCATGCTCGCCACCAATATGCTGATAATGGCGATGATTTTTAGGCCTAGTGCTTTGGCCTTGTTGATGCATGGGTTCGGGGATTCGACCCCACACTCCTCTTCTTCAGTTAACGTTTGTGGTGCAGAAATTAAGAGAATAAGAACAATGACGGTAGAAATGAGCCCCATTTGAGTCTCTCGATCTTGCAAAACCAACAACTAAGACTTAAGAGTGATATTTTAATTGGTTCGAATAGCATTATTTTATAAAATTATAAATATATTTTGTAATAATATATATAATGTTCAAAATAGGAAGAATTCAATTTCATGGGTAGGCATGAACTGGCAATTCAAATTGAGAATATGAACACAAAATTGTTAATTAATGTTGTAATTATGGGGAAGGGCATGGGCAAATCTTTGGAGGAATGCTTTTGCTCGTGGAATTCGTGCTAACATGGTAAGTTCACCCTTACATTCTTCCTAAAGTATCAACCCCAACCTAAGGGCCCCTCACACTCCGGTCCGACAGAACATTTGGGAGGATATAAAAGTTCACCCTTACATGGCAGTACAGTTGACTGTGCTTGCTTACATGACTGTGTCCTGCGCAAAACGACATCGTTTTGTTAAGTTGGTAGGGAGTTGACGCGACAAAGTGTATGTGTATTCTGTTATACAATTATGTACATTCTATTACACAATTATGTAAATTTTTTTTTTTAAGGTCAACCATTGGGTTGTATTTATAGATGAATCAAAATAGAATCGGGTGAGACATTGTCCTAGTACATAGCTAATGTATAATTAAAGGCAGTTGATGCTAAAGTATGAGCTAAAGTATTATGCAATCTATAAATAAAACTAAACGAGCAATGATTAAACATATTCATATAGACTCTGTAGTCATCTAGGACGTAACCAAGATAGGATCGTGCCTGAATAGTAGTTGATGACAAATAAGCGAGTAGTGTCTGGCAATCCGTGTAGAGGTTAACTGATTGCTCCCCCCGGCCTTTGAGCCACGATAAAACTTCTTTGCATGCTAGAGCCTCGGCCATAAGTGGTGAGAAGCAATTTTGCGGAGGTACACAAAATGCTCATATATAGTCGCCGGCGTGGGTGAACAATACTGCTCCAGCAGTGGCCGTCATGGACGACGGATGGTAGCCAACATCGATAAAACATCGTCTCGGTTGGGGTGACTGATTTCTGGCGCCTGGGGGTGGCAGTTGTACCGTAGCGGGTGGATGCAACACTGCCACGCCGGACTCCGGGAGCTGTGGCTGCTCCGTAACGGATGGATGCAACACCATCGTGGCAGAATTGGGAGGCACCGGCAGTGGCGTCGGCGGGACTTGCTGGCCATGCATGCCGGCTGTAGGCTGGTCCACTTCGGCAGTAGCGTGCACCCGCTGCCAAGCCTTCATGGTGGTTATAGCTGTAGTCACAATCTTCTTTGGCATTGGTAGGTATGAATTCCAAACTGCTTCGTTTCGGGCCCTCCAGATATTGTATAATATCGCAGCTGCAAACAATATTGCATCAGAATCTAGAACATTTAGTAATGTTCCAAACCATTCATAAAAAACATTTGTCACAATTTGGGGGATTGGAAGGATAGATTGGCTCCATATGGCTTTTGCATAGTCACACAATACTAATGAGTGCATTGTATCTTCATGCATTAAACCACACATGGAACATGTCGGATCAATTTCCACCCTCTTTATAAGCAAGTTAGTAGTAGTGGGCAAGATATTGCTCATAGCTCTCCATAGGAACATTTTCCACTTTGATGGGATTTTAAGTTGCCATAGTGTGTTCCATTTATCAAAACCCGTGCTAGTACTATAGGTGCCCACCATAAGTCTATACCCATTCTTGACCGAGTAGCATCCATTTGGATCTCCATACCAATACCATGTATCCTCATATTCTGGGGAGATAGGGATCTTTAAAATTCTAGGTATACCATTCGGGTGAAAAATATCTGTTAGAATGTGAGGATCCCATGTTCCAGTTGTTTGGTCAATCAATCCTGCAACCTTAGCATCAGCTAACTGTGATAGCATCTCAGTTTGGACCATAGGATCCAACTCATCCTGGAGCTAGGGATGCTTCCATATTAAAGTCGATTCACCATTCCCAATACGTCGACGCACCCCACTGGTAATTAATTCTTTAGCAGCCATAATACTCCTCCAACAGTAACTAGGATTATTCCCAATACTTGCCTCAGAGAAAGGTAGTTTGGGGTAGTACCTAGCTTTGTACACACGGGACACCAATGAGTCAGTATTTGTCAGTAAGCACCAAGCCTGCTTCCCCAACATAGCCAAATTAAACGTCTTTAGGTCCTTGAAACCTAGGTCTCCATTTTTTTGGTAATACACAATCTATCCCATGTTTTCCAGTGAATACCACGATCAGTTCCTGATCCCTACCAATAGCGGTTCATCGTCCGTTGAATAGCTGCATAGACAGATATAGGTAATAGAAAAACGCTCATTGAGAAGGTAGGCATTACCTGAGCTACACTTTTCAACAATACTTCTTTACCTGCCTGCGTTAGGAGTTTCTAATTCCATGACCCAATTCTCTGTCTGATTTTATCCTCGATATAAGCAAAAGCAGCCTTTTTATTCCTTCCTATAAAGGTAGACCCAGATATTTTCCAAAATTCGGGACTTGGACCACTCCCAGAATCTGCGCCACCATCTCCCTGTCCCCATTGCATGTATTCTTACTATAACAAATACTAGACTTATGGTAGTTGACCATTTGTCCTGACAGAGTTTCATACATGGCCAAGCAATTTTTAACCTCAACAGCCTCATGTTGATTAGCTTTAAAAAATAAGAGGTTGTCATCTACGAAAAATAAATGAGAGATCGGGGGTGCTCCCCGTGCTACTCAGTAGCTATGAATTAAACCATTGTTCTGTGCCTGTTGGAGTAATAGGGAAAGCCCTTCTGCACATATAATAAAAAGATATGGTGACAAAGGATCCCCTGCCTGAGAACACGTGTAGGCGTGACCGGGTCACTAGGAGAGCCATTTATCAGAAATCTATAAGACATTGTAGTCACACATAACATAATTAGTTCCACCCATCTCTCATCAAACCCCAAGGCCTTTAACATCCCTCGTAGGAAGGGCCATTCCATCCGGTCATAAGCCTTTGCCATATCTAATTTTAGAGCTCCCCAGCCAACCGTTCCACACTGTTTCCGCCGCTATCATAATATCGTCGGTAATGAGTCTATTCGGTATAAACGCACTCTGTGTACCAGATATAATGTTGTCCATCAAGGGCTTCATTCTTTGTGTAATCATTTTCGCCATTACCCTATAAATAACATTACTTAGGGCTATGGGTCTTAGGTCCGTTACCAGCTCAGGCATATCCTTCTTTAGTATTAACACAACATTCGTTTCATTCAATGCAGAGGGAAAAGCTCGAGTATTAAAGCATTCAACAATATAGCTCGCGAGATCCCCACCTACCACATCCCAAAAATGCTGATAGAAGCCAGGATTCATTCCATCCGGCCCTGGTGCCTTATCAGAGAACATTGCAAAAAGAGCACTCTTAACCTCATCCACCCTAAAAGGCTGTAATAAAGCATCATTATGCTCCTGTGTAACCTTTGGTATAACTTTCTCAAATAAATCATGCCCATCCGCAGGATTACTAGAGCAAAAGATATTGGCAAAATAGTCCAAAATAACATCATTCATGGCATCCCCTTCCACCCAATCCCCCGCATTATTCATAATTCTAGACAGAGAATTTTTCTTTCTACGGTGAGAGGCATACCTGTGGTAGAATTTTGTATTGGCATCGGGATTTTTCAACCAGTGTTGTTTAGATCTTTGTTTCCAGTACGCATCTCCTAGGCCTCAACACGACTCAACTCCTCCTCTAAGCGCTGGAATTCAGTTAATGAATCTGAGTCCGTTCGCCCCCCCCCGCCCCCCCCCCCCCCCCCAACCGAAACTGATCACTCCGGAGCTGCTTAATATGTTCACCAAATTTATGGTACCGATCACCCCCCCCCCCCCAACGAGATAACCGATTCCCACAATATGCAATGCACTCCTGCAAACCATCATGTCTCCTCGCATTCCATGATTCCTCCACCACAGTCCTACAACCCTCATCATATACCCATGCCATCTCAAACCGGAACTGCTTCCTCCGTGGTCTCCCCCACCCCACCGGATCATGGATACCCAGAAAAAGGAAGGAATGATCTGATTTTCTGGTCAGAATATTAGCCACTCTTGCCCCAGGGACAATATCACGCCAGCTATTTGTGGCCAATAGTTTGTCCAATTTCTCCTCTATCCACCGATCCGTGCCCTTTCCCTTCTCCCACGTAAACTGATATCCATCCATCGATAACTGAGTCATACCACAGTACTCAATAGCCTCTCCAAACCCTCGTAAGAGGCTATTTGGATGTGGGTTACCTCCCCTCTTCTCGTGCTGGAATAATAGATCATTAAAATCTCCTATCATAACCCATGATAGACTGGACTGTGGCTTTAACGATTTAATAAGATTCCATGCCTCTCTTCGTCTATTCCGGTGTGGGAAGCCATAATAACAAGTCATCCGCCAGTTCGGAAAACCAGCTATGCTAATCTCCAGATCAATATAATTTGTCGAGAAACTTATCAGTCTTGCCGTATTGTTCTTCTTCCACAACAAAGCTAAACCACCACCCATTCTTACACAGTCAACATAAAATAGCCCTTCAAATCCAAGTTTCACCCATAACCTCTCTGCATGATCTCGTCCTACTGTAGTTTCCATAAGAAAGACAAAATCGGGCTTCTTTCGGGACACCATGCCCTCTATCTCACGAACTGTACGTGGATTGACCAAGCCACGACAGTTCCAGCTTAGCGTACTCATTGGGTCGGGCGGGCTTGTTGGACAAGACCCGCCGCATGCAAGTTTTTTGAAACCATGTTGTTTTCTACATCATCATTCAACATTGTACCCTCCACCTCCAATTCAGTCACGGCCGCACGACGTCGTTTGGATGAGGCCACAATATCCTCATCTGAACTACTCTGCTGCTGCACCATTAGTACATCATTCATGGCATCATCCGTTTCACCAGTCTTCCGTTTGGCCACCGTTGGTCTTATCGCACCAACCGGTGGCAGCAACCACGTCGCACTAACGTGGCCTTCCCCGCCCTCATCCATGGCCCATAGGGGTACGACTCAGGCATAATACCAGATACCCGAGCCTTCACACAGAACTTGTCTAGATGACCTAACATCCCGCAACAAAAACAGAAATTATGGAGACGTTCATACTTTAGATTAACCCATCCCCAAGACTTATCCCGGCGTATCAGCTTCATTCTCCGCTTGAGTGGCTTGTCAACCGGTACCGACACACGCACACAGTAGAACGTTTTCCAGGGCCCTCCCACATTACGATCATCACACCGAATGAACGTTCCTACCAAATTTCCAACCTATTCCAGTATGACATTCGATGTATACCCCATCGGCAGATCATAAACCTGTATCCACATGTCAATAGTATCCAGGTTAACCTCCCCCGGGAGATATTCATCACAAACCTGACGGCACACCAGGGTATGATTCTCAAATGACCATGGTCCCTCCTCCAACACCCGTTTCATATCAGTGACGTGATAAAAGGCGAAGAGGAACAAATTAGCATGTAGTTCCGTGACTCTCATCCCCATCACGGGCTGCCATGTCAAGGCCATCACTTGTCGCATGTACTAGACCTTGATCAGTTTTGTTGTCAGAAACCTACCAACGATCAAGTACACTTGCTTGCCCTCCTCGTCGACCGGTTGGTAGAGACCGCCCGCCTCAACCCCACCCTCCTCATCCTCAATAACCATGTCACCCCACCTTTCGGTCATCCTCTCCATTCCTTCGTTCAATTGCTGCTGCGACGCTACTGCCATGCTGGAGATCGGACGCCCACCGTCGGAGTAGAAGGCAAACGTTTGATCGGTACTGTACGGCAAATCGGAAAACCCTAGATTGGGAGGAAGAGAGAAAAAACCCTAGTTTGGGAGCAATTATGTACATTTTTTATACAATTATGTACATTCGAAATAAGGATTTTTTTGAAGAGTTAAAAGTTTATGTGTATTATGTTAAGAGTTTATGTGTATTATGTATTATGTTAGATTGTGTGTATTATCTTTTCAAAAAAGAGTATGTGTATTCTATTATACAATTATGTACATTTTATTATACAATTATGTACATTCGAAACATAAGTTTTTTTTTTTAAGAAGTTAACAGCAAACACAGAAAGCGTAATTTTAAATTAAAAAAAAAAAGTACAAAACGATATCGTTTTGGACCAGAGCACGCCATATAATTTGCCGACTTGAGGTATGTTTTAAAATTTGGCCCATTTTATTGGAACATCTTGCTGCAGTTTCTTCCCCGATTAAATCCGTTACCAGTAGGTCCATATAATGCAACAGGCCAATCCAACGACAGCCCAATTACAATAATTCCTAACTTCAAATCTTACATTCTCTACGGAAATATGTTAAATCAAGTGAAAAATAAATAAATAATTAAATTTCTTAACCATAAGATTAGAGTTTAAACTGAGACTCAACTATACTGTTCTTATATGCGACCTTTCATTCTGATGAACATAACTAGTTGAATTATTGGAAGACGGTGTTTTACTTTTATTTTTATATATGTATATGGCCTCCAACATTTTTATTACTATGAAATTAATTTAAATTTGGCTCAGGTCACACTTGTAGAGTCAAATTCTTACTTGGAGGAAAGACAGACCAAAAACTCGTCAACACAATAGTTATATTATGGACAATGGTGCATGTCGCAACATACATTCAAACATATCCCTATTTTTTCTCAACTTAAATTTATTTTTATTTTTTGTTACAAATAAAATTAATGTATAAAAAAAATATCATTAAAAAATTTTAATTTTTTTTTTTTATTACAAAGGAAGGGGGATACCCATACAACCTATGCCTACACTGAGGCTTGAAACCTAGACCTCCCACATAAGGGAGCAATCCGATAC